TTTTTTTCTGAATGAACTCGCTTCAGATTGTTTCTAATTGTTCATTAAGAAGAATACTGATTGTAAATGCAGTAACTTTTGCAGTTGCCTTTTCAACAGTTAAGAAAAAATATTCAATGAGAAAGTTGATTTTTTTTGTTGGTGATGATAGATTCAGTCTTGTCCGTCATGGATGAATATTGTCTACCGAGACAGAGCTGAATTGGAATCAACAGTTCACATATGACATAAAATCTCAATGAAAGAATAAAGACGAGGAGTGTTCTGGATTTGATCAAAATCATTTGATCAAAATTCACTGTTTGAAGCTGATCAAAAAGTTGAATCAGAAAATTGTTTGAAGGCAGTCAAATTAGTGTTCATGCTGATATTAGCGATTCTAACGACTAGTGAGTCACAGAAGAGAATAAACAGCAATAAAGAATTGAATAAGATGAATGACAAAATTTCGAGAATAATCTGCACGAGTCTAGGGAAATTTCTAATGAATTAAGCGTATTGTATGGAATATAGCAGATATTACACGCAATGCACACAATTTTTTCGAGTGAATGGGATGAAAGAAACTATCTCATTCGTGTTTTCCGTATGAATGTAACAATTAAAAAAAAAGTGTCCATCGGCTGAAACACATTACAAGCCGTGTCTGAATTAACTACTGAAGTAATTAGTTAATTAATTAATTGAATTAATCAATTTCTGAATTAATTAACCGACAAATCATTCTTTCCGATGATTTTTTTTTNTGGATTTGGTATTGAAAATATTATTATAATACTATCAGGATTAGATCATAGTAACGATGTGAAAACCGACCTGTTGATTCTATTAATTTGCTTAACTGAATGTTTGTTATGATTATGAATATGATTATTAATATAAGGATGATATATTGTTATAAACCACTGATCGACTAATCAATTAGATACTATTATATTATTAGGGTAACTGTTATTATTTGTTATCATCACTGTTATTACGTCATTCGCTCATCTGATTCCGTTTGTATACATTGATAAATTTATGCACCTGAGGTAATTGGATTAAAATGATACGAATTACGTCAAGCCGTATTAATATCAATTTGAATTCTGCGTATTAATTTGAATGAAAATGTTGATTGATGTCACCATAATCTCTAAGTTCTATATATGGAATTCGAGCCGAAAAGAGAAAAGTTGAGAAAAGGGATGATCCATCGAGAATGGAATGTCAATCACATTGTGTGAAGATAAAGTGAATGTCCTGTCCATCAACGGGAAGTAATAAGCGTGCAGAATCGTCGATGAGTTCTAATTAACCACTGAATCTTTAAAATGATGTATCTGAAGTTTTTCATTTGCAAAGAGACTTTTGCATTGCACTGAAATAATGACAACGCTGTGATGAAACAACAAAAATTTTTATTAATTTCCAAATGTTATTTTACATAAATTTCATTCATGCTGCTCTGTACACGATCGATGAATACAATACAACAAAATATGAAATTTACGATTCATATTCATCATTAAATATTGAAATCAACTCCAAATAAATTTGAACCTAAAAATAAGATCGCATTTGTCGTCTCTGAAGATCATTTGTAGAAAAAAAACCAAAAATGAAATTCATCAGTTGAATGAGAAGAATGACATTTATGGTGGCAATAAAATGCTTCCAGAGTGATCTCAACAATGAAAGATAACTGAAATTACTTTATAATAATAACAGATCCGACAGTAACCTCAGACCATCTTTCGAAACAAGTGTGTTCTTTTCTTTATGAGCCCATCAGAGTATCAATGCAATGCAACAATATTGCTGGGTAATGAGCACATTGAATATCTTAAGTCATTCAACAAAATGACTAGAAAATCAAGGGAATGTTTGTCCGAATCACCCGCAACTGGTGTTCGTTAGTGAGCGGAGTCCCAGACAATTCCTGGGCAATTTTGCTCCTCGTTTTTCGTTGGGATCCCTCTCCCCCGTCCACTTTGCTTCCCGATGGGTACTCCTCTCGGCCAGCGGGTTACTCGCCGACAAACATTAATCACAATTGCTAATTGTAAGCAAAAGTAGTAATGGATATGGATAAATATTGACACAGAGAAGAGCAAAAGAATCATTATTTAAATGATATCACAATGAAAGTGATCACAAATTTTGAGTTACTTGTTTATTTTGAATTGCAGTTGTTCGTATTGAAAACACCTGAGAACTTTTTATGAATTTAAACTTGAGAAGATTCGACAAGCGGCTCAGTTGAGCGTGATACTCAGGTCTTAAAATGAAATTGATGATCGTCGTCACAATTTTCAGACACCTAAAATTCATTCTTTTATTAGCAATTCAAAGTTTCATTTCCAACAATTCATTCATTCATATTTCAGAATCACTCAACATTTCAAGTGGCTAACGAAAACTTTAATTTTCCGAACGTCTCGATCGCTTCCAATTCATTTGCACTGCACTTAATCAATTTTCAAGTGATACGACTCGAAAGCAAATGAATAATGAAATTTAGTGACCAATAAAAAATTTTTTTAAACGACTTCAACCGAAAATGAAAAATTATATTACGTTGTCTTTTAATTAACAGAAAGTCATTCCCTACTGCAAACTGAG